AACTGGTTGAAAAATTGTTGACTACACTATTTTCTGTTGAAAAATGCCAGTCAGTCTAAACTGAAATGTTTCTTGGAAACGTATTGGTTTGACAAACTTTTTTTGTCATATGTAACTCAAAGATGGATGTTCCCATTGTCTAATCATTCCTGCTTCTTTTTGAAAAATGCCCCCTGAGGTCACATTTAACTGAGGTATCATTTTATGTGTCTGTTTTATAAAGAGGAACTGCTCACCTTGAACGTTCAGACCATCTATCTCTGAATGGCCTCCCAAGCTTTCTTCTGCACAGACGTGAGCGAGGTCTGCATATTTCACTCTGTGAGCAGTGATCTCTGGTGAGATGCTAATGCCTATAGTAACTCTCTCTTTATTGTGTTTCTAGGGGAGGGGAAATTGCTGGGAAACGGTGCCTCTGATCAAAAAGTAGACACGCTTAGCTCAGAGAGCGCAGACCACAGTTCTTGAGGAAAAGGGGACAGGGAAGGACTCAGTGCTGGGAGAGGGAAACACAGGGTTACAACCCCAAAACGGGATTGCATAGGTACAGTCCTGGGGTTGGGAGACAGCTCCCCAAAGGATCAGCAACATGCAGAGTCATTGGTGAGAAAATGCAGCCTGAATCAAAAAGAGGTTGCCCTGGAGAGGCAGTTTGACACATATCCCAGGAGAAATGAGAGAATATTCATGCATATACACGTCTACTCTAATATAATGTGTCCTGATATAACACGAATTTGGATATAACGTGGTAAAGCAGTGCTCTGGGGGGGCAGGGATGTGCCCTCTGCCGGATCAAAGCAAGTTCGATATAATGCGGTTTCACCTATAACGCGGTAAGATTTTTTGGCTCCCGAGGACAGTGTTATATCAGGGTAGAGGTGTATATGCATGAATATTCTCTCATTTCTCCTGGGATATGTGTCAAACTGCTCTCTAGGGCAACCTCTTTTTGATTCAGGCTGCATTTGCTCACCAATGACTCTGCATGTTGCTGGTCCTTTGGGGAGCTGTCTCCCAACCCCAGGACTGTACCTATGCAATCCCGTTTTGGGGTTGTAACCCTGTGTTTCCCTCTCCCAGCACTGAGTCCTTCCCTGTCCCCTTTTCCTCAAGAACTGTGGTCTACACTCTCTGAGCTAAGCGTGTCTACTTTTTGATCAGAGGCACCGTTTCCCAGCAATTTCCCCTCCCCTAGAAACACAATAAAGAGAGAGTTACTATAGGCATTAGCATCTCACCAGAGATCACTGCTCACAGAGTGAAATATGGAGACCTCGCTCACGTCTGTGCAGAAGAAAGCTTGGGAGGCCATTCAGAGATAGATGGTCTGAACGTTCAAGGTGAGCAGTTCCTTTTTATAAAACAGACACATAAAATGATACCTCAGTTAAATGTGACCTCAGGGGGTATTTTTCAAAAAGAAGCA